GCGTTTGTATAGGTCTGCAGGTTAAACTGACCATCTACCTCTATGTGCAAAATCAATTTGGGCCCATGACTTCATTTTTTTCATGGCATTCAAGATGGGGAGATGTGTTGTTGTCTGATGGTCTCTGAAAGCTGTTGTATTTATGGGAATACAAAATCTGAAATTAGTTCTAAAATGACAGCTAACTGGAACCTCAGCAGTTGCTGGTGGTTTATATTAAGAGGAAGAAACAGAATTTGTTGGACTTTCATTCTCAGTCATGTTCAATGAAGTTGGCAATAAACCCTTCTGATAAGCTACTTTAAACTATTTCGTAGCAATTACCATCTTTCTCTTGCACATCTGAACAAACTATTAGACACTTGAATAGGACCATCTGGTGTTTTAAGATGACAGTAAACTTATACATGTGGCTCCTAAATGTAAAGACAGCCAACTTCTGACACTGGATTCCAGTCTGAACTGAAATGGGTCAGCCTTCCAACAAATTCTCACTTTGCTGTAACCATTTAAAATTCTTTGCCCTTGAGGACTATTTAATCTTGAAAGCAATGTGCAGCAGATTATCTCAGTCATATTTGTATCATCTCCTGTACTCAGACTTTAAATCTGTGTTGGGTACGTTAGCAATACCAGATGGTTTTGCATAACCTTTGCTGTAAAATGAAAATTAATGGCAGTAGACAGGCAGGAACCGTCTCCTGGCAGTATTTCAGCTGATCTATCTGTGCCATTTCTCCCGTAACTCCATTTATGGAGAAAATGGGTTCCCTCCTGTCCCCTCAGGCATGCATTCCCACTCCAGTGTGTGCTCAGCCTGCTCTGTACCTCTGGGTGCTCCAGCACCGAGCTGGCCGTGCCCTTTAGAAGGCACAGAGAACTGATATAGGCAGCAGCGGTGAAGCAGCACACTGCAGTTTTAGGCTCTCTAAATTTCCCAAATTACAGCTAAATTGGATGCTGAAGAAGAAGCAGTTGCTTCTAAGGCTGATGCTTCCTTACCACTGATGAAGATCCTCTTACAGGACTGTGGAGGAATATTTGACATGCACCGACTTCTAGATAGAGTCAAACTCAAAAGCACGGAGTACTATTGTTATTTTATGTCTCTATTTTTGGCAAGCGGCCACATAGCTTCTCTCTCGGAACAAAGGCAGAGGCTGTGCATACATCTGGAATCATGTCTAATCTGATTCTCAATGTGCCCCTTAGTTTGAGCTAAACTTTTTCCATAAGGTAACCAGACATCACGTATAGAAAGGTCATTCCCTTCTTCCTGTTTTGCAGCAAACTGAGATGTATCTGTCAAAAAAGTCCATCTCTTTTGCTAATTCAGTTTGTCTCAAACTGTGTAAGAATATGCTTAATGATGTGTTCTTTATTACTGGGGAGGGAATGTGGAATCCTGTATTTCTGAAGAAATCTGTGCTGTGACCTCTGATTGTGAAGGGTTGTCATCCACTGAGGCCAGAGAGGGAGTATGTTTTGGGCGAGGCATTAGACGGCATATATTTCCTCTCCTTAATTTGCTTCTGGAGAGGTATTTTTAGCTTAAAAAACTCTTAAATGTTAGAAGTCTTTGAAATGATATATCAAAGAGTTGCCAAAAAAAATTCTCTTTTTTTTAACTTGCGTTTCAGTTTGTTTTGGTAATTCTTCAAATGTTCTCTGTGTACTGTACAATAGCTCTCTATACACAAGTCGTCTTGTGTTTCTAAACCTTATAATTAAAACACTAATAATCTTTTTTTCCTGTTTCTTCCCCTTCTTCTCTTTCTAAAGGAGCAGAAAGCCCAGGCATAAGGTTGTAATGCCAATTTGTAGCTGAAGTAACAGCGAGAGATTATGAGTTAATGTTGACTTTGTCTTTTTCTTCTTTTTTTTTTGTGGTGGGGAGTTTTGGGTTTTTAGGGCAGCGTGAGCACATAGTTTAACAGCTTTTTAGGGAGGAACATTTTAGAAACAACCCAAAAACCCACAAGCAACCAAGCCCAAATGAAAACCAACCTGTCCTGAAAAAAAAGTAATTGTTTTGTGTTGCTTTAACTTCCTCTTTCCTTTTAGAGAACATCCTGGCCAACATTTTATTCTTTGTGTGTGACTAAACAAGAGTGTTCTATTTACTGATGCATAGTGTGTGTGGTTGAGGCATGGCATATGTGTATGGTGGGCTTCTGGATGAGAAAACCCCTGTAAACACTTGTCTTCAGTGGAAACAAACTTTTATTGATGTGTTGTCTATGCTAGATATCTAAAGCTCAAAATGCAGTTGATGAAAGCGGATTTAATCTTTCAAGTTATGTTTCAGATGTCTGTTGGTCTGGCTTCAGACTGGCTCTATAGCATGCAAACTGCTTGAGGTCTTAGGCTGATAAAGATACCACCATGATCACAGCAGGCTTGTATTTCAGATAAGGAAAGATGAAAATAATGTCGTGTCCCTGTGCCTGTCCCTGGAGTTGCAAGTGGCAGCTTAATAGCTGCTGAAGTATCTCTTCTCGTTAAACCATAATCTGTAATTTCCTTGTGGAGGCAGTGATCCTGCAAATTATAAAATAACTAAACACATGGTCTTCCCTGCACCTTATGCACTCTGTCTTGAGCAAGCAATTTGTGAATAATCTGTTCCTTCATTTTGGACAGAAACAATTTGGAAGTTGAACTGTTTATATCCTTGTATGTACAAGAATAGTAGCATGACTTTTTCAGAATAAATTGCAACTTTCATAATAATAAAACTGTATCATCACATCTAATTGACCTTGGCATTGTGTTATTGTTGCCCAAACTAAAATTAATACCAGAACTTGTCAGCTTTAGCTCATTTTCCATTCATGGTAAAAGCCAAGCTGCAGGTGAGCTGTCTCCTCACCATTGCTCCCACTGCATCTACCCACAGCTGACTGGGAGGAGTGTTCCTCACGCTCCTGGACCGATGGGTGAAAGTGTGGGGATGTGATCCCCTCTGCATGTTAGGCATGATCTTGCACACCCAGACATGGCCATGATTCCCCAGTCCTTCACCCATCTGATTTAGGAGCTTCTTTTCCCAAAGAGCTGGAATGAAGCATGTCATGGGTTTGAGTCTGGTGGGTTTTTTTTGTAAAAGACTGGGTAGACTCTCGTGACACTTCAGGAGCCTCTCCCTCCCCCAGGTAGGAGTTAGACCTGCCTCTGGCCAGGGTCAGGCCAATCAAGGCCTCTGTGATCAAGGTATTTAAGAGGTGACCCCACTGTTCTATATGTCTCTCTTTTTGGTTTTGTCTCATTTTGAGCTGTCCTGTCTTTAATGTTGGGGAGATTTTCTGTTGGGGGGGGGAAGGTGAGAGGAGAACAGAGGAACATTGCCCTGAGAAGAAAGAGACGTAGAATAGTCCCAGAGGAGAAGGAGAGGGAGAAGAAGGCTGCCAGAGCAGGACCTCCCCCTGGAGCCTGTGGTGGTTGAGATGACAGGAAGGTGACTGCCTGCCAGCTGAGGGAATCGGTGGCAGTGAAAACGTCCAGGATGCACCAATACATGCAGAGCCCCATGCGACAGGGAAGAGAGACTGAAAATTAGCAAGGAACGTGGTCAAAGTGACTCACGCCCCCAGTGGACTCCCAAGGAAGAAGAGGATTGCCTCCTGTGAGGTGGACACCCTGCGGCAGAAAGGACAGACTGCGAGGAGCCCTCTTTCTTAATGAAGAGCTGCCATGGACGCTGAGTAATGGCCAGATGGACTGCACCCACCATCCATGCCCCCTTTGCACTGATGGGGGGGCAGGAGGTAGCCGGGAAGATGGGGGCAGGGGGTGCAGGCAGCAAAGGCTATTTAGGATCGGGTCCTATTTATTGATGTACTCTTCTTACTGTCCTACTTTGTAAATGGTGGTGGTGCATTAAATCTATGTTTTTCTCCCAAAGTCTCTCAGATTCTTTATCTGTCATCTTAAATGGTAGATTATTACCCTCCCTATCCTTAATCTCAAACCCTTGAGCCTTTGCAGTTGAACTGTCTCCCTCCACATCACTGTGGAAATGAGGGTGGGAGGAGGAGTGAGCTGGAGACCACATGGTTTTTTGTCCCAGTCAGCTTGAACCATGACAGAGACATTTTAAATTCACTGTGTTACACAAACACTTAAATTATGGTGCTTAGAGTCTATTTTTCACCTCGAGCTTCTAGTGGTTGTTACTTGGTTAAATTTACTGATGTGCTGATATATTGTGTGAATACTTGGCCCTTACTCTGTGCTGTTTTTTATACTCTTATATTTCCTCTTTATTATGAATTGGTCATCTGTCATTTTAATCTTTTCACAGCGAAACTCTTTGCATATCATTTATGGTCATTGCTTTTGCTAAGTGTGCTGTTTCTCTTTCTCCTTGGAGAGTAAGCTGGTATTAGTCCAGCTGAAACATAATTGTAAGGGGTATGTTCTGCTTTCAGTCACTATCAGAGTAGTCTCAAGTATACTCAGGAATATTAGACTATCATTTAGATGTTTTCTTTATTTCTATTAGATGTTCAGGTTAGTGTATGTGAGTGTAGGACCTGCTTATTGTTTTTATATCCTGTATTTTGTCAAGTTGTATGCTGCAAATAGCTCTGTCCTGATAGCTGGATCAAATGTCCTTTGACTTGAGTTACTTTGGCCTTACTCGCTTTGGTTTCATGGACACAGACCCAAGGAAGGGCTGCAAAGAAGCAGATTTTTCCCTGCTGTGAAGCTTGCAGAGCAAGCTGGGCTGGGGAGACAAGTCACCAGAAAAATAATTGATTTTGGCTGAGGCTAACTGTCTGCTAACCCAGTGCTATGAATGGGCTTGTGCAAGCACCGTCACTTATGTAGGTATAGTAGAAAGGTGAGTGGACCCCAAAATACCGTCCTGTTATCAACTTAGTCAAATGCTTAATCTTTTGTTTTAGTTGTGGATGTGGATTATAAAGGCAGCAGTAAGATCAATTCATGCAGTATATTTCTTGAAGCTGACTGCAATCATCTTGCTCTCTACGCAGATGGGCTTGGGCCACGAGGAGGGATTTGGTGCCCCCTGCTTAAAATGCAAGGACAAGTGTGAAGGATTTGAGCTTCACTTCTGGAGGTAAGTGGCACCAGATGTCTCTGAAGCTGTAACTTGGCATTGCACATCTTGGCACATGTATGCAAGTGTGTAAGTAATTGCTTTTGTTCTCTCTTTCAGTTAAACTATGCAGATGCTTTAAAGAAGCTGTGTCTAAGTTCAGGGCCAGGGCTTCTCAGCTGTGTTACAACAGGGTGTTTAAGAATGTAATCATGAACATTTCATCTGTACCGAAGTCAGTGGTACTTCTAGTGAAGCATTTGCTTTAGCTTAGTAAACAGTTGAAGTAGGTTTGTCAAAACTTCTCTATCCCTGCAGTAAGAGATGTGACAGGGAAGAAGTGGAGTTTATCTCAGTAATGAAATACTTTCTCAGCTCCTGACCAAATATGTAAACTTTAGTCTGAGACGTTAGGTTGAATTATCTTATCTACATTGAAAAGATATATACGTCTCTGAATGATTTAGAAGAGAGAGAGGTGACATAATACAAACAAGCTAGATGGTACTTGGCTTTGGATGATACAGTGTTCCTAAACCAATAGAGTTAATGATAGTAGTATAAGTCGTCTATGCTGTGGTCTGTGCCATTACTTCTGCAGAAACTTTGTATTTCGTTAAAACCTTTCTTGTTTTAGTGAAACAAGATGTATATATATCTCTTAATGTGTGTATATATATATATAGCTAACTCATTTCACTGATTATACTGGCTGTGCTTTCAGATGCAGCTTAGTAGTTCTGATGAGGTTTTTTTCAAGGTAGTTTTTTTTTGTTTGGTTGGTTTGTGAGGGTTTTGTGTTGTGGGTTTTTTATTTTGTGGTTTTGTTTTGGGGTTTTTTTGTATTTTTTTTAATCCCCCTCAAACAGAACAGCCTGGACATAAAAATAAATGTTAGTAGCACTAGAACATGTTAGCAATGGAAGCAATTACACTTGACCGATGCTGCTTAGTTGCAATCATAACTGTATCTGCAGTAGGGTTTGCGTTTGTGGAGTGTTTTAATGTAGTGTTTACATCCCGGCTGTAGTGGCATCAGGTGCAGGTAAGGCCTAGGAGGTTTTACGTCGTTGCTCAACTGTTTGACTGCAGCTGATACTCAGTTTAGAAAATAACCAAAGAGACCACAGAAAAACTTGCTGTAATTTGATGAGGATGTAGCTTCTTGGCTGTCTGTAATATGTAGCTATAGAAACAACTTAAAAATAATGACATAGAGCAAGAAATGGGAATACACTAATAAATTAACTTGGTCATCTAAAGATAAAAGAAATTATTAATTTATGAAAAGACTCAGTACACCGTCAGTCACTGAGGGAACTCATGTACAGGTACTAGTAAAATAAAACAGAACACTGTTAATGTGTGTAGGTAGTTCAACAAAAAGGAATTTTAAAAAGTCAGGAATAAATACTGTTGTTTCTCTGTAATTAAATGAGAAATTGTTACTTCTCACTTTGAGAGAAAACCCTTTGTTCATGGTCAGTGTGATAGATGAGGTAATGGCAAATGCAGGAGTCAAAAAAAGAAAGATTAGTCTGGTTACATTTTTGTCTGCTCTTTCTTTTTGTCCCTTTTTGCTTAGTTCACATTGCTAGATCTAATTCTTAGCTTAATCTTTAACAGGGAACAATTTGGGATAAAAAGAAATAAAATGTCTGAAGTGGTTTAGTCACATAGTAGCATGATTGCCAAGTTAGAATGTGTCTGCTTTTGTTTGTGTATCTGAAGGTTTTTGTCTGTGTTTTTCTTTATAGGCATAACACTCTTTAAAATCGTTGTGCCAGGTCCTGAATACGTAGCTCAACAGAGCACTGTCTCTCCTAGAAAGCAAGGGCTTCTGGGCATCAGTAGGTTAAATAGCAAGTAAGAAAAGGATGTAAAACCAGTGAGTGTTTAGTTAAGATTAAGATTTAACTTGGAAATCAAATCTGTATAGGATAGACTAGGTAAATAAGGTGGCTGGAAGTAGTTTGAGAAGCAGGTGAATATGGCACGCACATCTGAAACAGCTGAAAAGTTAACCATCAAAGTAATTCAGGAATGGATTAGGAAATACCTGTTTTTCTAGCAGAGCTACTGCAAGTGGACAGGATATTGTCTTTATAACATGAATGATCAAAATCAGCACAAATTTCATTTGCTAATTTCAGTATTACTCACCTGTAGAAGATAGATGTTGAAGTAGAGATTGTAAAGAAACTGTTGCGTGCTGTAAATAACAAATGCAATGGGTTGACCCCAGCCAGCAGCCAAGCACCCTCACAGCGGGGATGGGGGAGACAAAAAAGGAACAAATATGAGAAAACTCGTGTCAAAATGAAGTCAGTTTAATGGGTGATGGATGGTGGGGAGGTCTTAGTGCTGACTGTGACAATGTATAGTATGAAGTATCCCTTATGTGCTGAGGTGGGGCTGGAATACCAAAAAGAGAAAGCCTTGACACTGTGCCAGGAGCGCTCAGCACCAGCAGGCGCTATCAAGGCTGATTTAGCTACAAATCCAAATCGCAGCACTGTAGAGGCATCATGAAGAAAGCTACCTCTTTAGGAGCCAGGTGGAGTACAGCAAGCAAGGCAGCAGTTGTGTTTGCAGGCTGCGATCCTTGCTGTGGTCTGTGCAAGGGTGACACTGCCCTCTCCTGGGTGGAGCTGAGGAGGTTCGGCAGATCACCTAATTCTTGGTTTGACGCCTGAAAACTCTTGATATGCCTCAGAAAGCTAAGTTGTGATTTCTTCTGGTACTTCTTTTCAGTACAAAAGAGCCTCAATCCAGTCTGTGGGGATCAGGCTGGAAAGTGCATGTGAAAAATGCAAGTGTATCTGTCTGGTGGTAAGTTTTAAGCAGAAAAGCTCTTCTCCATGCTGGAAGTGTTTGGAAAAAATACCTCTTCCAGGGTGGCAAGTGCTCTTTAAGTACTTTGTGCTATAATTCTTGCAACAGTGTGTGGGGTAATTGTGCCCCTGTGCTCAGCACTGGTGAGGCCTCCCCTGGAGCCCTCTGTGCAGGTCTGGGCCCCTCACTGCAAGAAAGACCTTGAGGGGCTGGAGCGGGTCCAGAGGAGAGCAACGAGGCTGGGGAAGGGACTGGAGGGAAAGTCCTGTGAGGAGAGGCTGAGGGAGCTGGGGGTGTTCAGCCTGGAGAAGAGGAGACTCAGGGGGGACCTCATCACTCTCTACAGCTGCCTGAAGGGAGGGTGCAGTCAGGTGGGGGTTGGGCTCTTCTCCCGGGCAACCAGTGACAGGATGAGAGGGCACGGCCTGAAACTACGTCAGGGAAGGTTTAGGTTGGATCTCAGGAAGCTCTTGCTCACGGAGAGGGTGCTCAGGCACTGGGATGCACTGCCCGGGGAAGTGATGGAGTCACCGTCCCTGGAGGTGTTTAAGGAGAGGCTGGGTGGGGCCCTTAGTGCCCTGGTCTGGCTGATGTGATGGTGTTGGCTGGATCATAAGCTGGACTTGTTGATCTCAGAGGTCTTTTCCAGGCTCAAAAATTCTGTGATTCTGTGTTTATATGGAAGCAAGACTGTTAATTTGATTAGTACAGAAATGGTGGTTAATATAGCCCTTAGTAAAATTTGTTCCTCCGCATTGTGAGCGGAACACAGAGTAAGTACAATGAGAACCACCATGTACAAGCATAGCTGAATGGTGAACGACTACCTGCTTTATCTTAGTGTGTTAATACCTTTCTTTCTTTTAAAATTGTCCTCAGAATCATGCTTGAATCCAAGTGTAGCAGCTGCAGGCAGGGTCTTCTCAGTTCCACAAAACTGGCAGAGCAGGCTAACTCCAGGAGACTGCTTCTCGGAGATGTGTTTGCTCTTTGGGAATATGTTTCCCACTAGAGGGAAGTGCGAGACAGGAGTCAGAAGTTGCTAAAAGCAGGAGAGAAGGTTCTGATTTATCTTGGTCATGTATATACCAGAAAGTGGTAATTGTCTCCGGTGTGGCTTGCCAAGATGTTTAAATACTTCTGGAGACAAGTATCTTAAGCTTGGGAACAACCATTTTCAGCATCTGGCTTCTCTGCGTAGATACAATCCCTGGAAGGCAGGGAGAGCCTTAAGTTGGCTTTAACACTTTCTGATACTAAGACTGTCAGGCAAGTACTGAGGCACAGTTCAAAGCATTTGCAATTAGGTGCAAGAAAACATAACAGAAGGAGTCATGGGGAGAAGTTACTGTTTCTGTCTGAAGGGCAAAAGGTTCAAGACTTGTCAGAAATTGGTTAAGGGCTCCTCTGTACTCGCAGCTGCCTCCTCCTGTCACTAGGAGCCACTGCAAAGCCAGCGCAGGAGGAGTTGTGATCCAAATTACTCTTTGCTTCATACAGCAAAATCCAGAGAAGGAGGAGGATGGTTAACATTTGGTTTTGGAGGAGGAACTGGAAATCTTTAATCCTTGCTGCCAGTAGAAACCCAGGACATGAGCATTCACCAGACTGGGAAAGGGAATGGAATCTGCTTACCAGATTTGAGTGGAGGAACATTTTTCTCCTTTGCTGAAGTCCCGAGAGCTGTGAGCATACGAGTGGGAGTCATTAATACCACTGTCAGTATGGATCTTGCTGAGTGTCCTCAAATGAAGGGAAAATCTTTCTGGCAATGCAGATGAAGGGAATAAGAAATTTTCACTGATTGTTATCTTAATAGAGCCAAAGGAGATAGTTAGGTCTATACATATACAACAGCATATGTATGGTATGACCAAATTGTAAACAGTACTATGCAGGAAGAGTTACGTGTGTAAATATCGAGTGGAAATTATTCAAGACAAGGGTTTATAAATCAGGACAGGCAATATTTTTCTGTCTGTTAGCAGTGTACAGGCATCTTCATGTGGATGAGGTCCTGGGGAGCAGGGGATATGGCAACAGCCTCTGGGATTTTGCCTTGACTTTTGAGACATCGTTTGTGACTGAGCATTCTCCAGTTGTCTGTATTGTTTTCTAATGCCAGGGCCACTACATTTGTAATTTTGTAACAAACCCCAGTAACAGCTTCTTGCAAACTCCATGTAGGCAAAAAGTCTTTCGTTTGATCTTTAAAGAGCAAGGAGATAATGTTAGACTGGAATGTTCACAGTCAGATTCTTAATTTAAGGAAGTCTGAGTTGACAGATTAGCGAGTATTTCATTCTTTTTTCAGTGCAAGTATAAAGCACAGGAGTTCTATGCTGTTTTTTGCAGTCGGACCCAAGAAGGACCTGAGGACAAGTTGTATGCTTTCCTCTTTGTGACTATCTGTTTGTCTATTTGTCAGGACAACAGAAAATATCTCACAGATACAGAAACTAGTGAAATGTGTTAAGCTTTCAGGATGGGACCGAGGATGATAAAAGCAACTATGTCAGGTTGTTGTTAGTTCCACATTCTGTTCTGCAAGGCTGTTCTGTGTTCTGAGAGCACACTGCTAGAAAATAGGTACGCAATTTCATGATGCAGCGTGAGCAAAAATAAGGTGCTCTTGTGGCGCTTCCAGCATGTGTGAAGGTCTCAGGAGAAGAATTCCACCACAGCTTACTGGTCTGGTCTCTGCAGGCTGCTGATGCTGCTTCACTGTAGTTGGATGCTGTACAGCCCGGGAAGAGCTGCACAAACTGCAGGCAGTACAATAGTATGAATTGTTCGTACTGAGTTCTATTTTTCTAGCAGAGCAATTCTGGGCAGCCAGACTATACTTTACCTGCACAAGTCAGTGCGTGTTACCTCAGAATGTCTATTTGTTCCCCAACATTGTTAGATCATATCCTGTCAAGAGGCAAGGCTAAAACTGAGGCTTATTGTTCTAAAGACTTAACTTGAAAAAGTGAAGAAAATATCTGATAAGCTATTTTTCAGATGAACTAACTGCTGAAATTCAAGTTGCATGTATACCGTGGGGCATATAGCTGTATGATGGTCATGATATAATAAGGAGCTAAACCTGCAAAAAGTAAGGTCTGATTCTGTCACCTTGTATTAGATCTCAAAGAAGACATGATTGAGAGTTGATCATAAGGTATAATCATATACAAGCCTTAGAAGATGAACAGAGTGGATGTATATTGCTTTATTAGTATGTCAAATAGTCCCTAAGTATTAGCTAGGTAAAGTACTCATGTGGACTTGATGCTTGAAGATCTTGCAAAATTTTATGTTGGGAGTGTTTGAGATTCATAGTACAGCATCTAGGCTTAAGGGGCAATGCTAGTTTATGCTCGAATGCCTTGGTAAACTGGGAGATTGTGAAGTGCTTAGTGTTTACTAGGTATCCAAAGAAGTATCAGCTTTGAAGTTCTGTGCATCTTTGCTATTGAGGAAATGAGTTGGAAACCACGAAAGCTGTCAGGCAGCCTACGATTTAATTTTTGATCTCTTTAGATTTTTATGTGCTGCAAAGTGGAGTCTACTTAACATTCTTATTCTGTTCATTGCTTTTAAAGTGACTCATTTCTATTGCTGTTAGCTATTTTTATTTGGAGTGGGTTACCATAACTTACGGTTGCTGTATAATCACATAACCTGGGCAGCATCCATCACACACTGAGATGATAGTACCCCATGTTGTAAGCTGCTATGTGTGTGGTAGCTTGTATCTTTGTGACTGACTCTGCATTGCTTCACATGACCAGTTATATGTGTGTCGTCTTCCTTACTTTCCCATCACCTAATGGGCCTGCTGTAATCATGGCATGTTCTTGTTGTGTACCTGCTAGGTGCTTTTAAAATATGTATCAAGTGTTCAACATTCTTCTGCACCTTGCTTTCTAGAGTTTATGTTCTCACAAGCAGGACTGAGAAGCATTTTCTAGGTAGTAGTTTTATGCCATTCACTATGTGAAGAGTAAATAATGGGGTAAATTATTACTCATTCCTCTTCAAACTAGAGATCCAGAAGGTTAATCTCTTTTCTTAGGCTATACAAGGAACCTTTAGTTAATATCCAACTTGACTAATTTCCATATGCTCTGGCTGACTGCTTTGAACCGAAGCTCTGGGGAAGCCCTTAGTAAATTAGCTTGTCTAATCCAAGGTTCTGTTTATTATGTGTGAATATATGCTTGAGGTAATAAATTGCTATCTAATATCTCTTAATCAAAGGAGTTCAAATATGTTCTATATGAAAGAAGACTGTATCTAAGTAAAGCCCCCTACCTTTTAAGGATGTTATCTGTGAAAATTCTCTGTATGCTGTGTGTCAGAGTACCTCTGACTTGGTTCAGAACTTTTCAAAAGGCTTTGTCCATACAAGACTTCCACTTTTGTTTCATCTTCTTTTACATGCTTGGTGTAATTACACTTGGCTACATGCATATTTTTTTTCTTTTCTAGGAAGTACTTATCTCTACTTGACAGCAACCCTGTGATAACCGAATATCATGCACACAGTGAAATTCATATGAAGAAAACAGTATAGTGTGTGTAATTTTGAGTATAAAGAGAACACAAAAACCTAAATGTCTAAATAAATTATTGCTGGAGGGATCATGTTCATGCATTTAGGTTTATTTATGGGTGACTACCCATAATAAATCTGGTAGGTGGGTGATAGTGGACGTGTACATGTGTGACCAGTACCGAGGTGTAACTGAAAGAATGATAAAGCATCTTATTTAAAATGCATTAGTGTAGTTGACTGATATCTGTCTGATCACAATACAACAGGAGAAATAAATAATATCTTCAAGAGGTGTTTGATGTATTGCAGAGTAACTTGTATATTCCCTAATCAAAGCACTGAAAACAAGGGTTTGGGTTCCCAGCGATGATGTGTATGCAGCTGGTGAGACACAATTTTCAGCTGAGACTGTAACTTTGTTGCTGTTTCCATAAATTTCAGAAAAATATGTCGCAACTGCAAATGTGGCATGGAAGAGCATGATGTCCTCACAAGCAACGAGGAAGATCGGAAAGTGGGGAAACTCTTTGAAGATACGAAATACACGACCCTTATTGCAAAGCTCAAGAATGATGGCATTCCCATGTACAAACGCAATGTAATGATACTGACTAATCCAGTGCCAGCCAAGAAGAACGTGTCCATCAATACTGTAACTTTTGAGTGGGCTCCTCCTGTTCAGAATCAGACACTCGTAAGTCCGACTTGCTTCTTTTGTCGTGTTCAAGGCAGGAGCTGATGGGGGATAGAGAAGTGGATCTCACCAGAAGGATAAAGTTGCCTGTTGTATTCTTGTTTTCTTCCTCCTCAAAACTGAAAACATGATGCTGCTTTAATGAGTCTTGCTTCTATCCTCTTGCAGATATGGATGCTTGTCTATTTGGATGCTTTGAGAACTAGGGAGATGAGGTGTTTTTTAATAGATAGGATTAAGCCTAATTTGCTAAGGCCCGCAGTCTGGTTTCTCTAACTTGCCTCTTTTCTTTTAAGCTTGAAAAATTTGCATGGAGTGTGGGCTTAAAAGCAAAAAAAGCCCCAACCCTATCCCATGACAATTTATGTCATTGTTTAAAGTTAAGGGGAACACTCAGTCTTGCGTATGGCTTTTACTGTATATGGTAAGAACAAGGTCAGTGTTGACATCTAAAAGAGCAAATCTCTTCCAGTGTGTTTTCAGCTGAAGTAGATGAGAGGCTAGATAGCCTGCTGAGGATTTCGCTTCACTTTTCAAACTTTGATTGCTAACTTAGTGTGCTGCAGAGTTGTTTGATCCGTGTCAGAATCATATTATCTCTGAACTACCTCGCAAAATATCCTTTTTCATGAATTTAATCAAAGCTTGTACATTTAAGTCAACTGGTACTTGACAGTTACCACTTTGATTTTTAGGCTTGTCCTTGCTTTATTACTAGAGTTTTGGGGGGTTTTTTTCTTTATTTAGCTGGATTTTTTCCTACAATGGGCTCTCTGCCCCAGGCAGGCTATTTCAGCCTCTACTTTTTAAAGCTACACTAATGATCAGTAGTTTTAGATAGCTTTGAAGAGTCAAGTTTCTGTGTAAATGTTATTTACTCTGAGAAGTAATAACTCTATTCTGCATGTTGTAAAAGGTTGAAAAATAAGCCTGTCTCTTGCACTATTCGGCTTCTTCCCAGAGTATCTGCTGTATTTTATATCCACCTACTGTGTTTCGGGAGCTTTATGTTTATGGAAAGAACCTTGTTTTTGACAAATTTGCCTGTCGCTAACAACAGTAGAGATGATTTTAGTCACATGTTGGCTTAAGAGGATGGGTCTGTAGTTGAGGTGGCATCTGATATCTTAATTCCCTCTGGTTCAGGCTAGGCAGTATATGCAGATGCTACCAAAGGAGAAGCAGCCTGTTGCTGGCTCTGAAGGCGCACAGTACAGAAAGAAGCAGTTGGCTAAGCAGCTGCCTGCTCATGATCAGGATCCGTCTAAATGCCATGAGCTCTCCCCCAATGAAGTTAAGCAGATGGAACAATTTGTGAAGAAGTACAAAAACGAGGCACTTGGCGTCGGAGACATCAAGCTCCCCGGTGAGGTGGAAACAAGAGCTACCGATAAGAATAACTTGAACAATGGTGACAGAGGCACCTCAGCTGCTGTAGGAGCGATGGAGGACAAGTCGCCAGAGCAAAAGGCATCTCAATATGTAAGTATAAGAAAGGAAAGATAAAACAAGTTGTTTTATTACCATACACTTACTCTCTTTGGTCGTTTTAACCCAATTAACTTGTTTGCTAACTTGGAATGGAGAAAATCTGGGGAGGGAAAGAAAGAAGGAGATCTGGGAAACGCTGTGAATGTTTGCACGGAACTCTGGTTTCTAACAGTATTGAGTTCATTGCAGCAAATAACTTCCGAGGTGACCTTTTCATCCTTCTTGCAAAAACATGTTAGCTCGGAGATATAGTGTAGCAGGGCGACTTCTGCAGAACAATAATAAACAAAATTGTGTCATCTTATGGACTAATTGCTACACTTCTCTCCTCTTGAAGAGTTTAGTTTAATTTTAGAAGCCTGTTTTCTTCTCTTTTTTGGAAGAGCACCAAAATTACCCACTTGACAAACTGCATTTAAAATTAAATGAAACTAAAATAATCAAGTAACGCTTCTCCCTCCCATATCCAAGAAGCCAAGCTGTATAACAGCTGTTTTGACTAGCTGCCTTTTTGTATTCGGATCTATGCTTTTTTGATCTTTTTTTTTCTTTGGCATCTGATGCCTGTCTTGTAATAGCTCAGTGAAAAAGATATATAAAATTACCTAGGTCTCATTGATATTTCTAAAACTATAACCTTAAAATATTTTTTATATGACTTGCTGACTTCTGCTGTGCATGTCTCAGTTGCCAATTATGAATACAAAATAAGGGTAGAATTAGTGAAGTAACATTAGCTTAGTGAAAGTAGACCTTCACTTCAGAGTCACAAAAGTTCCTCTAACTTGATTACCAGAAGTGTTGCTACTGTATGCATGAGTACAAAAAACTACTTGTCTCCATGTTAATTAAGACATTCTTGTCTACACTTTTTCCTATCTCTTAGTTCTGCATCTTTGTTCTCTGAATTTTATTTTACACTGTCTTTCAGACTGAGCCTGAAAGCATGTATTCCTTTAGCTGTGGTAAATAGAATCTCTCAAAAAATGAGGTTTTGCTACAGCAATGGCTTGCAATTCTTTTAAACCTAATCTAAAAAGAAAGCAAACAAAAAACGCCCAAACCAACAGAACAAAAACAGGTCTCCACAATTAATGTAAATATACCTGTAATAATTGCCTTTGTGTTGAAAAGAATAATTTCACCAAGACAGAAAGCTGAATAACAGGAAAAAAAAAAGACAATATTCAGCATACTTTTATCTTGTAAATAAGCAAATCTCTTTATGCACCTAGTCTGGGGATGTTGTAAATGCCAGGTAAATGAATCATCTTGCCCGCATCTGGGTCCGTACAACTACTAAACCTTCCAATTGATGCCTCTTGGAACATGAGGTCTAAAGTAGAAAGAAGAATCAAAAAGCTTTATATACACCTATATTTGCACTTTCCCTTTCATTAGTTTCTCCTTCATTTTGTTCCAAGCTGTTCTTCCTCCCTTTCCATAAAATCATAGAATGAATTAGGTTGGAAAAGATCTTTAAGATAGAGTCCAACTATTAATCTAGCAATGCCACATCCACAACCAATTTTATAATTTCTGTGACAGGTTGTGCTATAACCTCAGGTTTCAAAAATTTACTTTTGTATGAAATTGCTTGCATGAAACAAATGTGGGGATCTGATTCATGTGCTTCACAGCTAAGACACTTTATATGTATCTTTGTTTTTTCTATATATACTTATGCACAATTACAAAAGCCATTTGTGGCTGGGCTTGTAGTGATGTGAATCATAGAGAAAACCTTCCCAGGATGCTCAGTCCAGTGCACAGACCAACTGGAGCGCAGGAAATGCCAAAATGGTGATTAAACTGTAGGGGAAAACTGTTTCTGTAACATAAACCACCTGGTTTTTGACTCGATGACAAAACCTTCTCTGTAAGCAGGTGTAGGACCGAAGGCTGACTGTAAGCTTTTTGGAACTATTTGTAGTGTTCGTGGACTTTGTAGTCCCTTTTCCAGAATCACTTTCCCTATCGAAGATCACTGTTCACGGACTATTGGACAACAGCCATGAGTGACTATCATCCCTAGAACACAGCTTTAATCAGACTGAATTTGGAATATTCACAGTTTGTTGTGTTTTTTTTCTCCCTGGTGATGCAAATACAGATTGAGGTTCTAATGACCTATAAGTAAAGCGGTTTTTTTGTCTTGTGTTCTAGTTGTAGTCCAGTTGGTTAGCTTTGATGGAGGCTCATTTTGATGTACTTGAGTACACAAGGCTTATAGAACATAACGTGAATTTTATTTGCCCGTTCGGTTTTTTTAAGAACTGGACTGTAGTTGCAAGGATGTAAATATGGCAGAATGTAATAATTAAAGTAGCACTAGTGCTATGTCAGCAAAACATGCACCATCTCGAATTGCTTAGTTAAACCTGTAGTGTGGTGTCATGTCACGAAACTGTCTGATCACAGGAGTAAACTAATGCTTTGTTTTCAGCCTGGGAAGGTGAGGTTTGTTAAATATATCGATCATGTGTATTTGCTCTAAAGGTACCTTTTCAATGACTTAACTTGGTAATAACCTATTTCCAGTCCTGCTATTGCTGCAAACTGAACATGAAAGAAGGTGACCCAGCTGTCTATGCAGAACGTGCTGGATATGACAAATTGTGGCACCCAGCTTGTTTTGTCTGCTGCACCTGCAGTGAACTTCTAGTAGACATGATCTATTTCTGGAAGAATGGTAACCTGTACTGTGGAAGACATTACTGTGATAGTGAAAAACCCCGCTGTGCTGGATGTGATGAGGTAGGAAATACCCTAGTCCTTTGTTTTAGCACATGAGTTTGCTCTCCTGAGAAATGAATGTAATTTTAAATGAAATATTTCAGTGCAGGGAGATGATGTGCTTTTCATCTAGCTGAGCATAGCTGCAAGGAACTGAAGCTGATATGGACATTCCACATTCAGGAAGATCTATAGTTTGCTTTGGATTTGGTGGTGATTTTGTGCTGTTTACAGGGATGTAGGGTGTAATACACGAGTGTGAATTCTTCCAGAAAGTTCCAGTTGTGCAGTTGCTTCCTCATAAAGGACACTAGGGGGAGCGCCTTACTAAATTACGGCTTGTGAAGCAAACAGCGAGCAACCTGCCTGGTGTCTTTTGGCATCTACTGGGTCTTAAACGACATTAAGTGTTTTGGGAAACGATCAAATGAGTGAACATATTAATTTTTGTTGCTGAAATAATTTGAAACAGTGGAATCGCCAGAAGCTCCTCAGAAATTACAAAACATCCTGACGCTAGCTTTATTAAAAGAAATGCTATTCAGATGCATATATTTGTTTATATCTTCCTCGTAGCTAATATTCAGCAACGAATATACTCAAGCAGAAGGTCAAAATTGGCATCTGAAACACTTCTGCTGTTTTGACTGTGACGGCGTTTTGGCGGGGGAGATCTATGTAATGGTGAATGAGAAGCCAGTCTGCAAACGCTGCTACATGAAGAACCACGCTGCGGTAAGATCCTTACAGATGTGCTGATGTTGTGAAGGAAGAGAGCATACATCTATGGAGCTTCACACTCTTGCTTTCTCCCTGTCTAGAGGTATCTGAAGGGTATAAATGCTTAGGCTCAAGTCAGTCATCTTGTTGCCCTTTTGGAAAAAAAACAAAAAAAAACCAAAAAAAACCAACAACCACACTTTAAAGCAGACAAGTATTTTGTCAATTCATAAACTTGAACAAAAGCTCCTGGTGGAGGGGGAGACTGTTTTGAAAATACCTTTAACTCAGCCAGTGATGAAGCAGGATTTTGTAACGGGAGGAGTAAAGTCTATAAAGGTGAAAAATGGTGTGAAGTGTTTAGTTTGCACCAGTCATAGGTCATTGTGACCCGTGGGATTCAACTTTAACTGGTCTACTAAAAGTCTGGAATGGCAACTTCCATGTAGGTACTTTTGTTTATTCGTATTTCTAACCACATGAGTTATAAAGGAGAGTGACTGATGGGATAAAGCTAGAAGGTTGGGAAAGGATGGTAGCTCTTGATTCCTGGTCATGCTAGGAACTCTAATCTGAGATGATGAGCTACTCTTATCTACCCCTTAACTTGGTATTAGTCCAGAGTTCAGTCTAATGTGCATCTTGACTGTTTGTATAAATGATGGCGAGAAAAACTGTTATCTCTAGCTGGCAATTAATAAGGGGCTGGTTAGCTCAGTCAGTTGAGCGTGGTGCTAACAATGGGTTCGATTCCCGTTCGGTCCCCATGTGTTGCCTGATCTAGTCATGAGGTGGTGTCCCTGGAGGCAGGGAGGCTGGATTAAAATGATCTCTAAGGTCCCTTCCAGCTTAGGCCATTCTATGATTCTATGATTAATCTTCTAGGGTAGGTGTGAAGAATTAGCTTTTGGAGAAGAGTTTATGGGTTTTTTTCTTTTCTCTTAAACATTAAGATCTAAATGATAATTTTTGACAGCCGGATTTTAAAATGAATTGCATTCAAGGATTTTAAGTAACCTTTTATTCTTTGGCATTGCTTTATGGCTGCAAATACGCAGGAAGATTTGTAACTAATCTCTTCAGATGTCTAAGTATAGTCCCAGCAGCAGCAAACTTCTTGTGTGCAATTTATTATTTTAGTTTGTGTCCTCAGTTGCTTCTGATTGGAAACTCTGTTTTAAAATATCAAGGAAAATGGAAAGCCGGAGACTTATTTCAAAGGCTTCTTTTAACACTTGTCTCTCTTCTCCAAAATTGTGTAGAAGTTCCAACTTTTGGTTGACTTGTAGAGAGGATGTGTGTGCTTCACTTAAGTGTATTTTTTTTTCCAAACAGATCTGCCAAGGCTGTCATAATGCTATAGAACCAGAAGCACAACGTGTGACATACAACAACTTCAACTGGCACGCTACACAGGAATGCTTCTTGTGTTCCTGTTGTAGCAAGTGTCTAATTGGCCAGAAGTTCATGCCAGTGGAAGGGATGGTCTTCTGCTCTGTGGAATGTAAGAAGAAGATGATGTCTTAAGAGAAGATGCACACAGAACCAAGCACTACTGTGTTCCAAAGGCTCTTGCATTTCTGCTGTAAGATACACAGTATCATAGCATTTAAAGTTACTGAAAGTATTAAAGAGCATTCTCCCAAAGATTCTTTTTAATGACTAAAAATTGCTATGTAATCTTAATTTCTTAGCTGTAATAATACCTTCTCTTTTTGGAATGTCGTTCCTCTGAGTCTTATATCAAAGACCTTGTATCCCAGAAATTCAAGAAAAAATGTGTTATGAGCTATATACACTTTAAGGGAGGTCTTCACTGTGAAGGATCTTTTTGCTCCATCTTGTCTAATGGAAGAAGAAAATGAAAATGCTCCATTTTTTATTAACATAACTCTCCTACTTTTGATTTTGCTAATTTATCATTTTTTATGATTTCCCTGCTTTTGTCAAGCACTTTAGACAAAATGATCAGCTTTACCACCACATAAGTTTTATTCACTTAAAAAAAAGCTTAAAGTTGCCTGTAATCACGTGCTTGTTGTTGACACATGGGTTCTTGAGACACGGTGACTATTCTCTCATCTAGTTTGTAAAATAACTGCACCAGTAGAAAACTGTGTTGGATCACGTTTCTTTCTTACAGCTGTTCACACCTGGAAAAGTTTTCATTTTATGATTATTGAAGTTCCTTTACAGATTGAATTTTTTTGATTTATTTTTTTGGGGATGGGGGGAGGGAGGGAAGTCGGGATGTAGTTAATATAAGAGGGGGTCTTATCCTTTCAGAACCAGCTTCTCTTTTTCATGAATGTTCTTCTCAAACTGTGCCTTTTATCAGAGGGATGGGGCACACGATACAGTATGCGTTTCCAAGAATGTAATTCTGCAAAAGGATCATACTTAGGCTTTTGATTCATAAGTCCTTAACCAAAGCACAAAGAAGTCTTTCCTGGGAGACTTCTAGTATTTGAGTGGAAAAGTAAGAAAGAAATTACAGCTGTGTATTAGCTTTGCTTTCTAGATAAACCAAATATGTGGTTCTTCCTTTATTTTGGTTTTTTTTGAAGAATTACAGATCTGCAATGAAACTTTTTACCTATGTTTGTGCCAAACAGTGAATGGAGAGTCCTTGGCCTAAACAATAAATACATAGAATAATTAAAACAAAACCCCACCTATGCAAGTCATGTTCAATTATTTTAAGTTTTATGGTGGCTGTATTTTAACACAAATAAAAATCAGTGTTGTTCACTTGAGTTGTCTACTAATTTTGTTCTTGTTGAATCCCATTTAGGGAAGGCAAAGAGGGAGGGGGAATGTTTCCATATTTTTCTTTAGCTTTGACATTATTTCCAAAAACCCTTAAGGCCTCTATTACTATAAAGTTTTTATGGTCTTGTGTAATATTGTTGATAGATGTGCTTAGAGGTACAAACCAATTGGTCTTGTTCCAGCAAATATACAACTTTAGATCTTAATGGGAGCTTGAGTTTTGTTCACATAAACCATGGCCTTAATTATATTTGTTATGCTATATTTATTTTGTCTTTTAATACGTATCAAGGGAAGTTTTGAGTTCACATGGATGAGCTAACATGCTGAGAAAAAGTATGTTGTGATCCTTTCAGTACTACAAAAATAAGACAATGTTGTGAGACATATAATGTATGATCTCTAAATTGAGTTAACTTTAGGCCTGTGTTCTGGAAGCCTGTGGAGCTTTTCTCAACATGTGCAAAAAAGTATATATGTCTTTCAGCTCCTACCAGTGGAGCTTTAATCTTGATAAATGTGCCGTTTTAAATCAAGGAAAACCAGAGAAGGTATTTCCATTGTTTTTCCATTTAAGTGCTCCTTAATTTGTAGCAGGACACGCTGCAAGAATGCCATTTTGGGGATAGGATCAGGTCTTATCTAATGATTATCTATATGATTGGCTTAATAGTGTCTGGGTTTTGCTTGTCTTGAGTGCATTTATCCTTACCCACTCACATCTAGAAGATGCAGCTGACTGTGACAAGCAGTTGTGCAACTTTCCTTGTCCCTCCCTTGCCACCAAATGTAAGAGCTTTTTTTTCTTAATGTGATTGCTTGCACTGGTGCCAGTTTTACTTTTCACTTTAAATCTTGTTCTGTACAGTTTTGTTTATTAAACCTTACTATTGTGCAACCTTCATTTAAAAGGATGAGCAGGCAGACTTACTCATTCCATCAAGGCAGAGCTGCTAAGGAAATGTTAAACATCTCAGTAGCTGATATTTTGGAACTGACTTTTTCCGTGCCTCTTCTGAAGCATGCTGGCTTGCTTTCTTTAGCTAGCACTCGTCTTGAGAATCTTGCCTTGCCTGCACGATCCCTTCTGGCTCTTGTTCCTGGAGCCTGATGCATCTAGGTGTTTCTGCTGCAGGGTAGCCAAAGTTTAATCTATGTGCATGCAGTAATTGGAAAGGATCATGTCATCGGAAGGTCAAGGGTAATGTGCAGATGATACAAAGGGGAGGCAAAGATACTGCTGCGTGACTACACAATAGATCAGGAGATCATTAGGAGTGCTAAACATTTCTTGTAATGAGCTAGGAAGGAATTTATGTTCCTGAAGATAACGCTTTTTGTGTCAGCTGAAAGATATGTCAGCATACTGGAGGTCAAAAACAAGCATTAAGGAGATTTCACTTTGTCACTGCTATAACAAAAAAATTAGCAGTTAAGTGTTGGGTGTTTTGTCTTTTGTAGGTTTTGGCTATTTCATCATGGAGGTCCCTTTGGATCTATTTATCTTAGTAAGCTAAGACTGGAAGCTGGAAGCTTTTGTGTATTTTGGTAATAAAAGACAAAATACATAACTTTGCAGAGGAAATTTTAAACTCAGAGTATGAAAGTTGAAGTTCTATGCTTATGGGTAGAACTTTGGTAAGAGAGACATATAAGCACTTGTCCTAAGAACAACATACTCTTCTGCTGAGAAATAACTAATGGGCTGCAAGAAACAGGCAAAAGAGGCACTCAGCCAGCTCTATCTATTGTGTCACTGCCAAGAGTGACATATTTTAACTCCTTGTATCTTCAGCACCAAATGAAGACAGATTCACAGAAGACAGCAAGTTTGGCCTTATTCCTATCAGCACATGTAAGCAGGAAAAGTCCAAATTTACCTCTGTGATGTAACTTTCTGCATGTCTTAGTTTTGTATTCTGTGTTGCATTTTATGTGGCTACTGTGACAATGTACGCTGTTATGACTCAAAGTTTGAGGTTTTTTTAGGAGTAGAGCTGTGTTTTTAACGACTGGCTTTAAAGAACCAGTAGGATTATACAGTAGAACAATACTAGGGATTAAACAGCCCCTGGGGTGCAGTTTAAGCACCAAAGCTGCAGCTGAGGGCACCAAAGAGACCCTCCTGTCACTGACATAATAGCTGAGAATTTGATTTTTCTTTTCTGTATGCCAGTAGCAGTCAGCCTTTTCAAAGAACCCTTAAAATTACCAGGCTTCTGCCTGTTTACACTTCTAACACTCCCAGAAATTTTGAATCTTGCCCAAAATTACAGATAAGGTGCAATGCCTTTGAGGTGATTGGTAAATCCTGCTTCACTTAACATGTTGATAGCCTTGACTGGAGCATCTAGGTGTTGCCTGTTGGTTGACTGGAGCTTGGGTTCCCAGTTGACCTGTTGTACAAGCGTTGCAACACACCTTCTTCCATGTCCCAAGATCAAAGAAGGTCTAGGGGTGCATAGCTGCCACTGCTTTTCAGGAGCTATGGGTGTTTCTGCGAATTACAGGCTTTGAGCACACTTACACTTTTATGCTTTTTTTAACCGCTTCAGGTAGTAAAACTTACGTACGTCATTCCAAATATTACGCATTGGAGTCTTTACACTCTACATGAAGAAAAAACAGTAATGCTATTGTAGCTCTTATCACAGAATCA